GGTTGGGTGGTCGTGGGGCGCTGCAGGAGGAGCTGAACCCCATCGAGGTGTCGATCGAGGAGATCGACAAGAGGGTGCAGGCGCTCGTGTGCGAGCTGGAGCAGAAGCCGCCCAACATCAAGACGCTGCAGCACGTCCTGCAAGGCAGTGCCCTTCCCCGTACGTCTCCGCACACCTGGCGTCGAGTCGGGTTCGCCAGCGCGGTAACAACGGACGACCTGTGGCTGTGCGTGTGTGTGCATGTGTGTGTGTATGTGTGTGCGTGTGTGTGTGTGTGTGTGCGCGCGCGCGGGCGTGTGCGTGTGCGCTGTTTGATGCATGCAGAGGTCAACCAGGGAGCTACGGAGATCTGCGAGGTGTTCCTGGCCAAGGGCGAGGGCGACAAGTATTCGCCGGCCTCGCTGGAGCGCCTGCGTGAGAGTCTGCGCCAGTTCCTGAAGGCCTGCGAGCGAGCAATCGAGCTCAACCGCAGCCTCATCGGCAGCGAGCAGCTCCAGTTCCAGAAGTCCATCGAGGAGGGTTTCAGGTCAGTCGCCCCACTCATTTCTCTCCTTACAGCTCTTGCGTTCTTGTGCCACCAGTCGGGCTGAGAAAAATGGGACTCACGGCCGTGAACAACCATTCAACCCCACGCACACCGTGCAGAGACATCAAGACGCAGATGGCGCCGCACGTACAGGCAAGAGATCCCAAGCGAGTGATGAGCTTCGGGATCATGCAAGAGAGCAACGGCAGCGATGAAGACTCAGACGACAGCGAGTCCGAATACACCATCGGGGTACATACGCACACACACTTGGGGATGTAGTACACCTGTAAGCACGAATGATCTTCTTCTGACTCTCGCCCTTCTGCAGTCACCACCGACCAGCGGCCCGCCCTCCCAGATAGGCTCACCCCGCACTTAGAGGGGAGAATGTATGTACACTGTCGACAATATATTATTCGCTCGCGGTGTCTGGCTCCTGCGCGGTTTGGTCGTCGAGGAGGCCCGTCTTTTGCTGCAGCATTGTCATCTGCGCATGGACCAGCACGCGCGATAGCTCCTTCAACTTGATCGGCTGCATTGACCAAATGGCGCGCGTCAGTATAACGTGATGGGCTCTCTCCACAGGGAAAAAGGAGAAAGGGGAGCACCTTGGGCAGGTAGCCGTCCATGCCGGCCTGACGACACTCCTTCC